AGACAGAAGTCAGTGCTCTTAATCTAGCAAGATATCATGAATCTTTCCTGAACGTCCCTGGTTACCCAAATTAGGGTAAGATAAATAAACAGATACAGCCTCTTGATTAAACACCTTTTTTTGTTGTTGTTGTTAATGACGCTCATATTTCTCTCAAGGTAAACATCTTGTTTTGTTAGACCAACAATGGATTTCTAATGGATTCCTAGCTAGCGAACTTGGTAATAGTGTGAGGCTATGAGCAGTCCCTTTCCTCGGGGGATCAGGTGGGAAAAAATAATAATGGAGTAGACTATGAAGTATTCCTAACTTCATATGTTGTGAGTAGACTGGAACAGAAGTAATAAGTCTGCATCACACAAGAATACTGTGTGGTCAGTGTGTGGATCACCCTACGGGTTCTGGTTTAAGTCTTTCAACATGTACAAATGTTAGGTTAACATGTATGGAAGCCAGGGGAAATCACGTTCTTGAGAATTCTTTGGAGCCATAGGCCTCTGTTATCTCTTCAAGTGCAAAATGCATTTGGAAGAAAACTAAAAGGTGACTTGAAAATCACGTTTTCATCTATTCAGAATGGGCAATAAAATCATAAACACAGTCAATATGTCTCAGTTGCTGCACTTTGGAATCAAAATGTGTAATTGTGTATCTGTTTTAAAGCATATGAAATTCAAACTTAGTTTTGACATGAAACTAGAGAGAATTGTAAATGCTTTTAGAGTCATTTGACACTATAAATGATCAATTAAATTGTTCCTTAGAAGGGAGGCATGGTTGCAAGAATGACTCCTCACTTAACATTTTCAAAATGAGAATTCATGCTTCTGAGCAAATCCACATGACCTCAGTAAAACAGAGATATGTTGATGACAGTGAAGAAGTACTAGCTGTCCCAGTGTAACCTATTCTTAGAGCAGTACAGAGCTGGTTACTCAAATTCATCTTTTATCTGTCTCTGGGCAGTTTATTATTGCATTGGATTTGCTCTGGCTGATACTAACCAAACAACTGAAAGCCAGCATATGTTCTCTCCTCTGTATGAATTGCGCAGTTAAAAATTATTTAATAAAACAGTATCTTAACAGTGTTGAACCTAACTTAATAGCACCTACTTGTAAATATGTTGAATGTCTCCTGCTTTAGTATGTGGTAAAGGGAATATAGTTACATTATTGTCTAAATGTATCTGGAGGGGTTTTGGCCATATGGTTCTAAATCTGTTTTAAAGTAATTATGCCTATTAACTAAAAAAATAAAAAATATTCCCTCTGAGTTGATTGACATTTCTCTTTCTAAAGCACTCTCATTGCTGATTAGAGGTGTGGAAATAGTAATTTGTTCTAGCATTTAGAAATTTCATTAGACCTCTAATGAAATGGAGCACCTACACGCTGTCTAAATATTCTGCCTGACACCAGTTGGATCTCATCCAACATGGAAGAACACCTGAAATGTTGCTTTACTACAATTTGTGTCTTGAAGTCAACCATGCTGCCTGCATGTGAATACTCACTGGCTGTTCAGCAGGCAGAGCAAACCTTGACCCTTCCTGGAAATCGGCATCAGGATTTGATTATTCCAGTGAGCACTTACTGTGATAACTGGCTTAGAGTTAGAAAATTAAGGCAACTGTTTATGGGGAAGCACCTAGACTTCTAACTCAGTCAGCTGGACTTCAGAGTGGCTGTGCACATGCATTACACACAGCACATGTATATGAGGTAGGAACATGCTGAAGCTCACAATTTGTCACTGTTGTTGTCTAGTGATAAGGTGACAACAACACGCTATAAATAAAAACTTAAAGCACCACATCTCTCCCTGTTATGAGCTGGTTCTTTTCCCTCTAAAAGCTAATTGAAACACCCACTGGGTGCAGTGGCAGCTGTTTTTAAGTCCTCTTTCATTCATTTGCAGCTGTTTTCACTCCAGACCAGTACTGCTAGAAAACTCTGAATCAGGACTCCGTTAGTATCCTGTGGTGGAAATTTCCAGTCTCTAGTGGTAGGAGACATATTAAAACATTTGAGGGACACTAGAGGTGCATAATGTTCATTAATCAAAAGTTCATTTTGACTGGTTAGGTTTTCCCTCTGAAATTCAAAAGACAGGCTCTAATGCATCTGCACTAGAATCAGACATGGCCTTTTGTGTTCTTCCTTGTGGTTTTGTTTTGTTTTTTTTTTGTTCTGTTTCTCCACCATATTTAATATTTTTACATTTTGCAGTCTCCACATTTAAACAAATGCAGTAGTAGGGTTGAACTAGAAAAACTCCCAACTACTTTATGCCATATTAATGCTTCAGAAAGTATTTTCATCTTCTGTTCCCTCCAGAAAACCCAAACAAAATGTTCAATTACATTAATGCTTCAAGTTTTGCGTTACTGGATGAGGCAGTAACATAAGGGGTCATTCGAGTAGAATCTGCTTTGAAATAAGTGACTTTTATTCGAGCTATTTAAAACTTGTCTCACTTCTGTGCTGGCGCTTCACAGGTAGTTAGGAGGAAAGGTGTGTTGGTCGAAAAGGTCAACTTAACATAATTAAAGGTTGAAGGAGCCTGCAGCCAGCATTGTAGTTCTTCAGGGGAGATGGAGGTTGGTGCTTGTGCCAACCAAGCAGAGGATAAGTGTAAAGAGAGCAGGTTGCACCCATAGAGGGTATGGTGGAATGGTCTTTCATGCATGGCTTAATAAAGCAAAAGGGGAATGGAGGTGGAAGGAAGGTCTCCCTCCATGCCTCTGCTCTTTAGGCCACTTATGCAAAAGGTATTAGATAAAGGTGTAGTTACTTGACCTATTTATCCAACAGAAACTTGTCGTACAAGCAAAAGCAGTTTGACTATCCAGTGCTGTTGCTGTTTTGTATGGGACACTCCTTTGGGTTAAGTTGTGCCTCATGAATACATAGAGGCAGCATTCAGCCCTCCAACATGATTAATTTGTCTTGTTTGAGAAGGTAGGTCTATGGTGTTGGTTCTTCAGAACTTTTCTTCAGAAAAGTTGGAATAATCATTGCATGGATTAACCTTTATCTGTACAGAGCTAAGCTGGTTGAAAGTATAGGTTGTGAACTTACTCTGATGAAAAGGTCTCAGTTTGGGTTTGGTGACTTCATGAGAAGGAAGGGCAAGTAAACTAGAGCGCAGTGGAGAACCTCATTAGGCAGTGCAGGTTATTCACTCTTCCATAGCTACAGGAGTCTTTATTCAGGCAGGGTATAAAATAAGTGGGTTTATTATTTCTGTGGTACTTGCTGGTGCTTTTCTTGTAGAGTTGTTAATTCACCAAAATGTAGCAAAAGCCCTCTTAGTAAAAGTGTAGGCAATGATCTGAGGGGGTGGTAGCACCATCAGCTCTGAGGTTGGAGGTAAATCTGAAATTCTGTCAATCTGCTGGCCTGGGTGGCTGAAGAAAGCAGGAATAGCTGATCTGTCTCTGGACAAGTTTTTTATTTACGTACAATAAGTCTTCTCTAACAGTTATGAGTCTTCATTTTTGAAAATCAGCGTGTCTTTTAAGCTCTATGAGGAAAACGCATTTGTACCTTAGGTCTTCACTGCCACCAGCTCAGCTACAAGTCAGCATGTTTTGGAGATTGTATCTTACTAGTGACTCACTTTGGTAAGATGTCACTTAAAATGCAAAATGTTCTTTAAAAAAAAAAAAAAAGAAGAAGAAGAAAGAGGAAGAAACTGCCAGACTGCAAGTATTCTTACGGTCATTCCAGCAAAGTTGGTGGCTTGTGAATGTGCTACTGAGATGAAGCTGTTCCTCTCCCAGACTAATCAAATATAAAACAGTTAGTGTGTCAGCTCCGTGCTCATTGTATAACAGTCTCCAACCTTTGCAAACAAGACTCCTTGGAGAAATAATTTTCTCTAATTGGTGACCGTTTTAGGATTTCCCATCAGGTGAAGAAGCAAAATGGCTCACCTGTGGTTTTCCATCTGTTGCCCTAGCACCTATATGGTTTTTATGGACTTCTTTCAAGGAGACTGTGTAAGAAGACTTACTTCAGTAAACTCAGTCGTGTGGATGCCACCTCCTTCTGAAAAATGCTTACGAGTCAACTAATCAAAAGAGGCTTAAACTCCTGGCTTAGACAGCAAGGCGCTAGCTCTTGGAAATTGTACCTTTAGGCTAGAGGTAAAGCGTGTTAGTCAGGGAGATTTTATTTTTCGTCTGGCACATTCTTTCTGTTTGAGTCATCGACCAAGGAAAGATGGCAAAAAAAGGTGCTTCTCTTAAAGCAGGAGGACATCGGTGCTTTTGGATGTCCAGGAGGACTATCCCTTTCCAGGCAGAGCTAGGAGAACATCATCAGCATTCCTTACATTATTTGAACTGTAGCAAAGATGGTCAGCGGTCATCAGTTGTATACAAGCATTTGTCCAAGAAACTTGTGCCAAGGGTGCTTCTCATTTTCTTTTAAAAGTTTTTCAATAGATTGACTTAAAATTTA